GAAGGAAAAAGATGGCAGCAAGAACAAAAAGTTTTGGAATAAGTGAAGTTTATCGATTAATACTTGGCGCAAAACCCGCACTAGCTTCACTAGAAGCGTAGAATTTGAATTTCCCATTTTAAATTTAAAAAAAAAAAATCACTGAACTCAAACAAAGGAACAAAGCATGCATGGTCCGACTTAAATTTGTTATCTAATTTTAGTGTCTTAATTATTGTATATCCAATCAAATCATACCACGTCACGTAAAAAATTTTAAATTATTTTTTAATTAACTCTTTTATACTTATTATAAGATGATATGATATGATTTAATTGGTTAGATACTAATTAAAATACTAAAACTTAAACAGTAGATTTGGATCCTGCATGATCACACTTTTTATTTATTTATTAAATGTTCTATTTCTATAAAGAATCATTCGTCGGTACATTCTATTTAGAAAATTAACCCTTTGCTTTGCTTTGATAGCAAATACACCCTTTGTCAAACTCTTTAACTAGTGGGGAGTTCTGCACGCTTAAGTCCTAAACTTTAATTATGCTTTTTAATTAAGCTAATTATATCACAAATTATGAAATTGGAACAAACTTTACAAAAGAAATACTTGGTGATAGTGAGGGATGCACGTGAGAATGTGGCTAAAAAACATCACATCTGCTTTAAATGACGAAATTGCCCCGAAGAAAGAAAAAGCTTTTAGCTAGTGGGGTCGTTTTATTCAGCGTTCGTTTTCTGCGAGTGGGGTTGGTTGGTCACGCTTTGCAGTAATTGGGTGGGTTGGAAAATTCTAAAAACTTTAGTCAAAGAGACAGAGAGAGTAAATAGAGCATACATGTCCAAGTGAATTGAACACGTTTTTTTTTTTTTTTTATTATTATTTTGTCAAAAAATATGACTCTTATGCTCAGCTAACCCTTAAGAAACCAAGAAAATGGCCCGATCGATGTGTCAGTCCCATTAATGGCCGCAAATTAACCCACTTGTGTACTCCGCCGCCGACTTGTCCACACAAACACAACTCATTTCAATGGTCGCACGTCATGATCTTCATCATAGTACTAGTCCACGATTTATCTAATCTTGTTCAGTCATTCATTAATTAATTGTAAAACTAATTGGACCTCTTAGTTTCTTAATCCTTCTTTTACTATCTTTAATTATCAATTTATTAATTAATACTTACTATCTAATGTCCTCATTACAACCCACTAGTATTTATTAATGCCCTAAAGGATTCTAGAAAAGGGAAAGTTTGCATAAATAATTCCATGTCGTTTTGTGAAAAAGAATATGTTCGACATGCACTAATATAGGGTTGATGTCTTTCCACTTTCACGCTTTTCTTAGAATATATTAAATATTATTGTTATAAGTGTTGCTTTATTAATAATAATAATATTATTATTATTTTTTTTGTAATGTAACATTTTTTGTGGAGACAAACAATGGGAGTTGGAGTGGAGCTAGTACTACAAACACACCCAGTGAAGGTGTGATCTAATTAATGGCGGCGTTTCACTTTGAAAGTTTTGTATTCAAGTCCGGGAGATTGACATTTCTTTGTCTTATTTGATGTTTGGTGCAAATTCGAATTAAAAATAACGAAATATAAAGTAGCACAATTCAAATACAAGGTGCAATGGTTCACGCTTTTGTCATGTGTTCCTGTTGTTGTGGACGAAAGAATCAAAAGATCAGAAAAGGCAGCTTGAAATTAATTGTTGCATTTTCTTGCTATTCAAGTTTTGTTGCTTTATATTCTTCTTTATCTTGACTCCACATTTCTAAAATAAACTGATCAACTGGCTTGCACTTGCGATGTTTCAGTTGCAGCCTCCAGAAAAGTAGAAACAGAACCCTTTTAACTTGTAATAAGCGGATAACATAAATTAATATGTATGACATGTATAAAAATATACAACTAACGAACGGATATATATATATATATATATATATGTGTGTGTGTGTGTGTGTGTGTAAAATATACAACTAACGAACGGATATATATATATATATATATATGTGTGTGTGTGTGTGTGTGTGTATATATATGTGTGTGTGTGTGAGTGAGTGAACAGATGACAACATGGGCATTTCACCCTATTTGATGATGTGTGACTGAGAAAAGTTTGATGAGGCGAGCGACAGCTAGGCCCATACGTGGTACTAGATTACTATGTATTAATTGAGGCGTGACTAGCCATGACTTGTGCAGTTGGGACAAACGTAACGAGAGATTTTGAACATAATAATTTATAGGATTAATTTTATAAATACCCCTGATTCAACATGCATCAGAACTTTAAAAATGGTTTATTTTGCTTCCTGAAGTATATGTACTCCTTCAAAATGTCCCTTACATTTATAAAACTAATAAAATGATGAGGTGATAATATTTATGTTTTTATAAATACTCTCATGACATGTTTACGTATTAAGATTGAGGAATGGAATTAAAGAATGAGAGTCAATCTCATGTCTACTTATTATTTTTTTATCATAAAATGAGAGTGAGATTGGCGGGCCCCACTAAAATTTAGGATTGAGGAATGAAATTGGCACTCCCATGCCCTCCATTAAGATTGAGACTCCCATTTTTTTATATTAACATAAAATCACTATCATACCCTATTTTACTTATAAATATAAAATTAAAAATAATAATTACAACATATATTTATTATTTTATTTGTCTAATATTATAATATTAGCCTGGTTGACTTTAATATAATAAATATGTACTTTATTTGTTTAATAAATTAATAATATATTTTAATTTTTTAACACTATTTTTTATTTCTATTTAAATTTTTTAACAATTTATTTTTATATTTTAAATAATTGTACAATTTATATTTATTATTTTAATATCCTATTATTACACTAAACATTTTAATTATGATTAATTTTAATATAATAAGTACACAATTTATTTTTTAAATTAAAAATATCAAATTGACTTAAAGGGTATATTAGTACTTTTACATTAGTTCATTTCGGTTCTAGGTCCTGTCACCAAGTAAACAACTTATTCTGACTATGATTCCTCACTCTGAATCCTACCTACTCCGATTCATGTCCTCTCTGATTACGCGTAGGTAAACATGCCATCAAATTATTGATTTTAAGTCAATTTGTCTCCTGAATTATTGCTTTTGTGTCAACTTGCTCCATAAATTTTTAAAAGATCTCAGGACAAGTTGACACAAAATCAAAAGTTCATGAAGTGTTTTGAACCACTTTTCATAATTAAGAGGTGAAATGAATTCTTTTTAAAATTTAAGAGGTATCTAACATGTAACAATAGATAAAAGAGTCAAAACTCTTTTCTATGGTAGCAGTCCCTCCACATTCTTTTTTTTTTTTTTTAAATTTTTTTACATTTGAATTTTTTGTGTGTGTTTTTTAATCCAACAATACATAAATACCAAAGTTCTTGACAGCTCCTGCACTTTCCTTTTTTCTTTTTGTGTGTTTTTAAAAAATATATTGTTCCTCACTCACTTACTCTTATGAGGGTAATTTTTCACGTGTTCATATTTATTTTTAATTGGTTAAAATAATTTTCTTTATATGTGTTCCCTATTTAATTTTTTTTGGTCAATTATTATCTATGCACATATTCCTTTTTAAAATGAATTTAAAAATCTTTAAATAGTAATATAAATGAATTTCTCATTATTCGGTAAACAATAAACTCTTTAGGTGTATTTAATACGGTAACACATGCAAAGGACGTTACAAAACTAGCGTTAAACTAAGGTACCAATTTCAAGAGGCATTTATGAAATTAATTCTAGCGTAGATCAAGATTAACTATGGGCCCTATAAAATTAATATAAGATACCTATACCCTTGTCAGCAGACAGCAATCTGCTCGTGGGTTGTGAGCATAATTGTTTATGCGGAAATAGTAGGAAATAAGCCAATATAAAAAGTTTAAGAAAGTATATAGGCCAATTTTTAGTTATAAAAATTAATAGGCCATAATTTGTCAAGTTATGGTTCATAACCAGATAAGTTATGGACAAACTTGTCAAGTTATGGTTCATAACCAGATAAGTTATGGACAATAACTTGTTAAGTGATGGTTGATAACCAGACAAATTATGGATGAAAACAGTAATTTGGCCTATTTATTAACTTATGTAAACTATTGGCCTATTAATTTTAATTTATATCAAGTCTTGGCATATTTTTCTCTTTCTCCCTTGTTTCTGTCCATCTATCTCTCTCTCTCTCTCTCTATATATATATATATATATATATATATGTTTGTGTGTGTGAGTAAACCAAATATGACTATAGTCTAAATTTGATGTGATTGAGTTCTGGATCGGAGCAGGGATATAGCTAATATATAATTAAGCATTTTCCCTGCAGCTTTTCATTACCAAGCCATTCCTTAATTCTATAAGCAAGCATGACATACGTGTAGATATATAGAATTAGGACCACCGTCTATAGACAACATTGCCATTTGTGTCTTTTATTATTAAAGTAATTCTAAGGACAACAACTATATATAATCCTATATTTTTTGTGTGAATTATCTTTTTTTTTTTTTTTCACTGATGCGTTTAATATCTTATTATTGATTGACATTACGAATTATTAAACACTTACGTACCAAAAATAAAAATAAAAATTCATAACCACGTTTGGCCTTTATATTTGGTGAATCACATAGATAAAATTGAGATTGTTTATCTGACGATCAATTTGATTGCTTTTCTTCAATACAGCTTTATGCCCTATACTTAATTTCATTGTTTACGGATGTCTAAGATCTGATTACGTTCTATTAAATGTCCCAGCAAAAAAAAAAAGAGACCAAATTATAAATACTACACTGTATAAACTCTTTTTATTTTTTATTTTTTATTTTTAAAAAAACATAACACTCAATGCAAGGAAAAAATAAAAAAAAAATAAAATGTGGGCTAATGAGATCAATGTTATGCATATATCTAGCGTCATTAACCTTGGCCATGTATACGTACATCATATTCTGTTTATTAAATTCTTCCCCAATATCATTAAATTCAATAACAAGCACTTTTGAAATCAAATCAACCAATTAATTAACAATAAAACAAGAACATCAGATAGAACTGACCATCCTGAAAACAACAATTATAATAATATTATAATGATATAACTATTTAGTAGTATTCTTGGGCGAGGGTGAAGAAGAAATTACTTCAGTGCTGCAAATAGGGCAAGATTTCTTGATCTGAAGCCACTTGCTTATGCACTCGGAATGGTAAGGATGTTCACAATTAGGAAGACTAACGAGCTCTTCCCCGTCTTCATACTCAATCTGGCAAATCACACACCGATCAGAATCGTTAAAACTACTCATCATCTTGATGTTCTTGTGATTCTTATTATTGCTATTAACCGATGACGTCGTTTTCCACACGATTGGATGCAAACAAGAAGAGATCTCATTCATAGAAAGCCCTCTCTTCTCAACTCCTATGAACTCTCCTAAAGCAATCAACTCCTCGTAAGTCAGTTCGTCCACGTCCAGTTCGTCATCATCATCGTCGTCGCCGTCGTCTTCCTCCATGTCTTCCCCTTCATAGTCGTCGACGTCGTCCTCATCAAGAAACCCTAGCTCCGGTCCGAACCCGCTGGATTCGAAGAACTCGTAATCCTCCTGATCGTAGTTGGTATCGCTCTCGCTTTCGATGCTTTCGAGCGTAGAGAAGGGCGGCCGGCTGTCTTGCTCTTGGAGGAACTCACAGCGGAGTACTTCGTCGAGGAGGGTGAAAGGGACTCTAGGGGGTCGTTGATGGTGATCTTGATTATGATGATCATTAGGTTGTTTGGTGGCTTGATCATGGTCGTCTTCCATGGAAGGAAAAAAAAAAAAAAACGCGTCACAAAATTTTGATGCGTATTATTTCAGATAAGATGATTAGTACGGCAAAAAGTGTAGCGTTGCTCTTTGGGGATATATGGTTAGACAAAATTGGTTTTGTTTTTGTTTATTGTTGAGGTTTGATTGGAGTGGAAGCAACCTCCGTGGAAAGCAATGGGAAAGAGGTTGTCAAGAATTTTTCTTATATTCTATATTCTTGACCAACAGGTACTTCCTTGAAATTCAAAGTCTTCTCTCCAACAGAAGCCCAAATAGTAAATTGGGGTTTTCTTTATGGAGAAGATGAACAAACCTTCAAGAAAGGCAAAGGAGATTGAGATGATATTTGTTCTTGTACTTGTCATGAGTTTCAACGTTATACCAAGTTTCAAACTTTGAAATTAAGATTTCTATAACCCTGTGGCTACTTTTCCCCATCTTTTAGGTAAGAACGTCGGTCCACAGCTGCCTTTCATGCGCAAAAATTTCAATATACATTTATTATATGTCATGGATAGATAGGTATGAACACAACTTTTAATGGCTTGAGGATAAGCTTGGACGTGTGAAACAGATCATAAAATAAAACGAGAGGCCAATACTTTTCTTTACTTAACATATAAAAGGTCTTTTGTCCTTGAAAATAAAATATAAGAGAAGTTTCTTTTTGCTATATTATATATAGGAGAATCAAATAATTTTGCTACAGCAATAATTTTAGTTATGCTCTAAATTAATATTCGTATATCATTAATTTCTTGTGATTTGTTGCTTCTTCCAAGTTCTAAACTTAAATACGATTGCTCTCTTCCAAAATAAATTCCCCTCAATTATGCGACTTTATTTTAGATCATAAAAGAAAAATAAAATAGATAATGGATTGGGTAAGACTCAAAGTGAAAATTACATTTCAAAGGTAGCTCATAAAATAGATAATCGATTGGATAAGACTGAAGTGAAAATTACATTTCAGACGCTCGCGTTTGGTTCACGGATTCAGAATTATGATTCAAAGTCATTCTCGATTTACGTGTGTTTTTTGTGAGAGAAAATGCTGTAGCGAACTACGAACCATGATTCGAACCATGACACGAATCCTCGTACCAAAGGGTTTCTCACCCTTTTATTAACGTTGTAATACAAACTACAGCAGCAAAACTGCAAAAGGGATAAGGGATTTTCTTTTTCAATAAATAAGATCATCTTCTTTTACACACGGTACATTTTTCTTTTTTTGAGTTTTGGTGGGTCAATTTTATAATGATTAATATACAGTTTTAATTAGTTAGTTCAAACTAACCTTCCATTGGGCGACTTCTCCTTCGTTGAATAATTCCTCCCTTATATATTGTGCCTTTACGCACAAACTTGGATGTTCGAGTCACCCTAATGGCATGATCAACTCTAGAATTATGATCATGATCATGATTATGATTGTGATGATCACCAAGTTTGATATTATAACTTCTTCTATTTCCATGTCCCAAATGATCTTTACTGATCCCAGCACCAATTCGATGACTCCTAGGCCTCAGAGACTTTCTCAATTGGTCACTTCTGTAATCCCTTTTTCGACGAGATAATGATGAATCACTCTTTTCCTTATACATGTCATAATCACAAGAAGCAAAACTAGTTTCTCCATTATGATGTTCATCTCCTGCTTCAGTGCTACTTGTATCGACCACTTCGATGTCTAGTTTCCGCCGGCGGCGACGGCGTCGGTTAGTTCTGCCGCGCAAATTACGAAGCTTGAGACACAAGAAAGTGCAGCAGCAGTCGCAAACAGAGAGACAAGAAGCAAAGCATGCCCAGAGCATTCTGCAGAGGCTCCAGCTCACACATTCGCATATTCCCAGTTTGTGTAGCAAGTATAAGAACAAGAGAACTGCACAAATTGATTCTGATCATAAGAAAACAAGGGAAAAAGAAAATAGTGTCCCAGTTGATATAGTAGTTAGTACTTTCACCAAAATTAAGCCCACCCAACTAAGCATTTAGAAGTAGAAACCTCTTTTTTTTTTTTTTTTTTTGGTCAGCTATATATTTATGTCCATAATATTCAGATGGAAATAATTTGTAACAAACATGTTGGCAAGTGATCTTAAAGTCTTAGACTTTTGAAAGAACAAATCAAGTAACTTACCAATGTAGAGCAAAACAAGTACCATGGCCATCTTGAGCAGATGGGAGACACAGAAATTTTCGATGTAACAGATGAAATCCCATGTTGAGCCGCAGACCGAGCTGATTGAACCCATATATATATATCAAAACCTCATATATACATGATTCAGGATAATTATTATAAAGAAAAATAAACGAAAGAAAGATTAATTTTCACTTTAATATTAAGATTTGAGATTTTAGAATCGAGAATTAAGGTGCTTACTTGCAAGATTTTCCTGCTAGGAAATCTAATGGGGAACCAAAAATATCCCCAATGACTTTGCCAAACCCCGAAAAAAATGAACTAACGACGTTGCCCATTAGGATCAGACAGCAAATTCTAGCACATCTTCTTGTTTCTGCTGTCTGGTACTAATATTATATCCATAACTCTTTTTAGTCTAAACTCCTACAATCTGAAAACCAGAAAATAAATAAATAAATAAGATATAAGATGCATTTTTGCAGTGAACATAACTTAATTTTGAAAGATAGACAAACTTGCTAATTTCTTTCAAAAGTTAATGAAGTTAAAAAAAAATGGCCGAGTAAGGATTAACAAGGAAACTAGTCCTCTTGCTCTCTTTGAACAATCTCCACTGCATCTCACTTATATATTATAATACAAATAAGTTAGATTCGCCGATAGAAACGTAACAATTGAAAACTTGTTTATAAATATACACATATGAATTATAATGTTATACTAAATATTACTTGTGCGAAATCTCTCTTCTTCTTCTACATGCGTGCATTGCATAACGAACTGATGGCAAAATGAAGTTCTATCCCGTCCAACGCAGAGAATGTTGTTCAGTTTTGTGGATACGAGAGGCTTCAAGATAAAGGCATAGGAGAGAAGTATGCAAACAAAGACGTTGTTTGTTGAGATCTTACCTTTTGGGGAGTTTTTTGTGAGAGAAACAATTAACTGTCTTGTATTTGTATCTATTTGCAGGGTGAAAAGCACTGAAGGGGATAAATATTTAACCAATTTTACAAGTAAAAATGCTTTCATCAACGCAAGAAATGACGATGAGGAAGGGCCAGTGAGAGGGAGATTCTCATATGGGTATTGAAATTGAAAATAACCGACTCTGACGATTGATCTCATGTATGGCATTACTTGTTGACAAGTTATTCCGACAGAATTTGCAACTGAAATACGAAATAGCCCAGAATTTTCTTTGTTTGGGCCTTACCTTGTTTGATTAACTTGAGCGCCTGTTTTAGGCCTGCCAATCTGCTCCTTTTTTTCACTTTTTTTTAAAGAAAAATAAAGATCACTTTTTTTTTAGGTATTTATAGAGGAGAAAATCTGATCAATGGCCCATTATTATATACACGGTTTGATTCAAAATTTTAATTTAAATTAAGATATAAATTTATATAAATTTTTTTTATTATAATAAAAAAATTAAATATAACTGTTTTTAAAAACTTTTTATCGTAATAAAACTTAAATTGATTAATGAACGGGCCTTAATATTACTTATCTCAACTTTCACAATTTAGGAAAATGGCCGGTGCTTATAAAAATTAAAAATTAAATCCCATTTATTTTACTATTCGAGTTTAAAATTTAAATTTTATTATACTTTTTATTGTAATAAAACTCAAATTGATTAATGATCGGCCTTAATATTACTTATCTCAACTTTCACAATTTAGGAAAATGGCCGGTGCTTATAAAAATTAAAAATTAAATCACATTTATTTTACTGATTCGAGTTTAAAATTTAAATTTTATTATAATAAATTTTTAAAAAATAATCACATTTAACTTTTTTATTACAATAAAAAACTCTCATATAAAATTATATCTTAATTTAAATTAGTCCGTTTAGTTAAAAAATTCGTTCTCTGATTCTGATTCGAATCACGTTCTCTAATTCTGATTCGAATCATGGTTCATAATTCTCTACAATATTTTATCATCATTTCCGATCAGCGGGCGTTTCCAATTTTATCCTCATTTCACACTCCCTCTTTCTCACTCTTTTCCTTCTCTGTCTAATCGCAGTTTCTCTCTCCCTCTCTCGCAGACTCGCTCATCTCCCTACTTCTCTCCTCTCACTATCCTTCTCGCAGCAAAGGGAGGCCAATGTCTCTGTAATCGCGATCTCTGATCTCCGTCGTGTGACAGTCTCCATCGAGATCTAGAGGTCGGCTTCATCTGAGAACAAACAATTAGGAATGATTGAGCAATCTTACCTGATGAAAGAAAAAACCGGTGATTGTTTGGAGTCAATCACTGATTTAATTGAGTCAATCATTGATTGACCATCAACAACACTCTTCCCCTCTCTCCATAGATGCTTGAAGCTGGGTTGTCAAAATAGGAAAGGAAGAAAATTCATGTCGAGACGTTATGTGATCCAAACACGAGAGAGAACAATTCTCTCTTCTCTCAATTAGATATTTTCTGGATCTCGAGAAACGCAACGAGAGAGAGAGAAACGGAGGGAGGGAGGGAGCGCTTGACTTGCCATAGACGCAGGCAGAGGGAGAGAGAGAGAGGCCGTTAGGATAGGGGAAGGATCTAATGGTGTTTCCGTCTTTTTCAGCACCTTACATATTAAGGGGTAGCCATTTGCCTAATTTCTTAAAAGGGGACATATTTAATCAAAAAGCTGTATGAAAACGGCCATTTTGCCTGTTATCCCTTCATACAGATTACAAAATTGCTTACGCCTTCAGTTAGGGTCCGTTCACTTCGCTGATTCGAATTTGTAATTCGAGTTGAGATGTGATTTTATGTTAGAGCTTTTTATTGTAATAAAAAAGTTAGATGTGACTGTTTCTGAGAGCTTTTTACTGTAACAAAACTCGAATTTTAAACTCGAGTCGGCGAAATAAACAGAGCCTTAATGTGTTGTTTTTTGATAGCACAGTTCATGTGTCATTTGATATGCAACAATGGAGGTTTTTTTTTTTTTTTTTTTTTTTTTTTTTGGTGGAGTGGAATATGCAACCATCGAGTTAATAATAAATAAATACAATAATTGCGAAAAGTAGTTCTCAAGTTATTAGACTAAAATTCATGCTCATGTATATCGTTTTTCAGTGTCATTCTCAGACACTTCAAAGGACGTAGCCTTGTAACTGGGAAGGGAAGGCTTTGGAAGGTCACGTTATCAGTTTATTGCCCTATATGACAACGATTAAATGCTCTCCGGATTTTTATTTTTAAAAGGAGATACGATTACAATCATCAATATTAAGGAGACGTTTAGTTCATGAATTAAAATTATTTTTCGATTTACATGTATTTTTTATGAGAAAAAATACTGTAACGAATCATGAACCATGATTCAAATCGGAATACGAATTCCCTAACCAAACAACCTTTTAGAGATTCGAAACGAGGTTTTAACTACTTTTTCCCCTTTTCCTTTCATGAGGAAACCGTGTCTAGGTTAATAGACTGAGCTTAATCAAGAATTTCTAGTTAAAAGGAACGGCTGAGAATTTTTGTAGCTAAAAAGCTCTGCATTCCAACAATTTTTCTTACTGTGAAGACAAAGTACAACCACCGATAATCCAGTTTTTAAACATTCATCAGAGCACACGAATAATTCGTCGGAACAGAAAATAGGCCCTCTTGGTCACCAAATAAGCTCATGACTGCCTATTCCAATTGGTAAGCTAAATAAACATGAAAGGAAAATAGACGGCCTAAAGGAATTTGGAACATATAGCTCAGTTCATTTCCAACCTTCAGCGAAGCTCAATCCATTCTTCCCTTCAAGATCCTCTCGGTCACTTCGGTGGGTGTTCTGCAACAAACACCAACAAATAAGTTCAACAATACATATGTTAGACAATGTCAACCCACCAAAAGGCTTCGTTTGGTAAGAGGGAAAGAAGTGCATATAACCTATGTGTGGAAAATGGAAAGGAAAGAAATAATCTCCCTATTTTTATTATTATTATGTTTGGTATGGATCCCCCTCCACTAATCTCTTCAAATTGGGAAAGATTAAAATTGAAATCCCTAACCCAATCCATTCCCTCCTATTCTCCCACCTACCAAACAACCAAAGGATCCTTCCATTAATCCCCTCACCCCTCTCCGTCATACCAAACAAAGCTATGACTAATGTTTATATTTTATTTTTCATCTTTTGAGCTTAAAAATATGCATTCCTTGCACATAATGATTTCAGCTGAACCATAACAAGCCTAATTACGCCTCTATCAGAGGAGAAAACAGAACCATGAATGAGAAAAATTTAACTGTTCATGAAGACTCTTTCATGGCTAGTTAATTTCTTTATCATCTCTCATCCTTCTAATCAATAACGTGCTTATGAGCAGTAGGAGAAAACCACAGTATAACTGTCGGTCTTTTAGGATACATTACAAGGTTTGTGAAAATATTTCTGGTAATAATAAAGAATGAGGTTTAGAAAGGCTTACACAACATAGACATGGCCTCCCCATCCACTCAAACAGTCTCGATTTACTGATGATAGCAGTGCTTGCGAGACAACCTCAAATAGTTCCTCTGGTTCCTGAGAGACGATGAGATGTTAATATCATTACAGTGCCCTTCTGTATGAGAATCGACAAAAAATATTTTGAAAAAAAAAAAAAAAAAAACGATTTTTAATCGAGAAATAATAGAAATTAGCAGCAATATTGTTAAGTTAATGGCATACTTTTATAATAAAAAGTAATATTAGACTCATGCACGCCTCCCTCAAAAGTATTGTCAAGGGGCTTCCATTTGATAGTATGAACATTAAACTTCAATCTCTTATAAACATAAAATATAACGTAGGGAGTCTTTAGGGTTTGTTTGGTTCATGCGTTCAAGTCAGTGATTTTGATTCAATGGCGGGAGCTTTGAGAGAAGAAATTTTTAAATTCAAATTCTTTGTGAGATAAAAAATGTTGTAGCATAATCAGAATCATGGGTTCAAGTATATGTACCAAACGAGGCCTTAACATGTGAAGTTACTCCAGTTCTTGAAATTAATAGCATTTCTAAGTTTATGAAACTAGGAAACCTAAATAATAATAACACGAACGTATCGACAATATTAATGTCAATCAAAAGGGAAATTTAAGATGAACACATACCAAGTCGGGCTTGAACATCGCCTCACAAGCACCATACAGGGACTCAGATGCAGTTCCAGCGACCACAAAATCTTTTGCCAGTTCCCTGCACAGAGCATGAAAGTAATATCAGGAAAACCCCTTTTCCTTTTGGCTGAACTCCCATGTTAGAAGGAAATTCCGTTGAAAAAAATAGGAAAGTAGAGCAATACAGCACCCAAAATTTATCTACACCTTTCATCAAAATTTATTAATAAATAAACAATGAATTTTCTTATCAAAATCTGCCTACATCTCAGACAACTGAAATGTGCAAACAAACAAAAGTATTGAAAATTGATCATTAATTCCATTCAGCACGGTTCTAAGATGTAATTAAAACCACAACTCTATACCAAGACAAAGTGGGAATGAACAAGAACAATAAAAGCCCCCGCATTCCACTAATCGGAACTAATAAGAACTTACAAAGGAAATAAGACTAATTACCTAAGTAACTAGAGCCTGGTGGAAAATCCCAACCTATACACCATCAACGGAAGAACTCGAAGAAAACATTTTAAGGATATTTGACAAGCAAAGGTCCAGAAAAGGCTAGAGCATCTAAGGAGAACCATAGTATCACTACTAAACTACGAAAGCAACTCAAATTTAACCACATTTTTGAAAAGAAAAGATAATAATCTTCTCAAAATGCAGTAAGCCGATAAGCGTAAACAGCTATGAAATGTCAAAAGCAGGTATTTACTTAAGGAGCCTAAAGGTGTGAAATTGAAGTTTTCCTTTCAGAAATTTCTTCTACACAAATCAGGGGGGAAAAAAAGGACACTAGAATCAACTTACTTAGCTCCAATTGAGTCCATGGTGCAAATGAATGGCTTGTCCTCGTCACTCAATCCAGCAATCACAGGTTGACAAAAATATGGCCCAAACCTAAATCACAGAGAAAAACAAAAATTAACAAATCTTCCTCTTTTTGCTCACATTTTGTTCCTGCACGATTAGTCAAACAAATAAAAGTAAAAAATGAAAAGAAAATAACAGAAAAAAAAAAAAACCTTTTCTCGTAAAGAACAGCGGAGACAAGGCTGGCAAAAGTCTCAGGCTTCATATCCCTCTCCTCGCGAAGTTGATAAAGCTTGTGCCTGAAGACGAGCCTCTGATACCTTTACCAAACCAAAACCAAAACCCATAAGATCACTACAAATACACAAAAATTCAAAATGTTCTAAGAATGAAATTGATTTCAAATCGAAGCGAATATCGGAAAATGAGCTTCGTACAGAGTCTGAGCGTCGGTGGCGAGGCCGGAGAGGCCGAGGTAGAGCCTGTCGTGGATTTTGTAAATCTTTTGGAAATCGGTGGCGATTGTTTGGAGCTGAACTCCGAGCCTCCGATCGCTGGCGATGGCAAAGCAGTTCTTCCCCACCATGGCTACTAGGGCACTTCCATTGTACTCGAAGATCTGTTAACCATCAAATTTTTTGCAGTAACAAGCAGATGCGAATATATATATATATATGTATATATATGAACAATACAGTTGTGAATCGATATAGAATGCGTTGTAAACACTCACCGACATCGGAGACTACAGGGTTTTCAGTTTTCTCAGATAATTTCTTTGAGCGAGAGTTTGGGAGTTCGCGATTGTATACGAAGGCGATGGCTTGGGGCTCAATCTAAGACTCGCTTTTCTTTTTCTTTTCTTTCTATTACTTTTCTTCTTCTTCTTCGTTTGTTAGGTCTACTGCAGATTGCATAGTTAACAAACATGGGCCGGGCTAAATTGAGTATTGGGCCCATCGGCTGATTAGTGGGTGGGAACAACAACTTGATACCCATATTATTCGATTAAAAGGAGAGAAATAGCGTATAATTAAGGGAGAAGGAGAAAAATATGTCAAGAATTGAGATAAATTAAAATTAATAGGTTAATAGTTTATATAAGTTAATAAATAGGCTAAATTATTATTTTTTTCCATAATATGTCTGGTTATGAACCATAACTTGACAAGTTATTGTTCATAATTCACGGTTTTTGTCCATAACTTGTCTGGCTATGAACTATAACTTGACAAGTTTGTCCATAATTTATCTGATTATGAACCATAACTTGACAAGTTATGGCCTATTAATTTCTATAACTAAAAATTGGCCTTATACTTTCTTAAATTTTTTATATTGGTCTATTTTCTACTATTTCCGTATAATTAATTAGTAAACTGATTAGTAGCATATTTTTTAAAAATAGTAAATTATAGTATAATTTAATATTATAAGTTTTAAATATTATTAAAAACTTAAAAATACGCCTAAATCTCTTTTTCCGCTTCATTCTTCTCCTCTAAATATCTATTTTTTTTTAGAAGAAATAGTAAATTATAGCATATTTTTTTAAAATAGGTAGATTATAGTCAAGTCCACTATGGCTGGGACCGGCGGCCGACTCCGGCGACTGGAGACTATTTTCCTCGTTACCATATTCCCCTACTGTGAATGGAACTCATATCGTGACCAATTATTTTCTCAGATTCCCCATCGCAAAGCAGCCCTTGCGATTTCCTAATGTCCGGATGTGCGAGAAGATAGAGAGAGATAGAGAGTGTCGACAGAGATCGGGATTGGAATTAGAATCGGGCTTCAAACTGGAATCATGATGGAACCTTGCTAGATCTGGTTTGAAAGAGAGTGCTGAAGCCATCGCCCTCGCCATTGAAATCGTGCGGCTCCTCACCAGTGCTAGAGATTGCGATGAGAGGGAGAGAGAGTACGACTGGGTAAGAGAGAAAGGAGAGAGAAGTGTATGGGAAGAAGAAAAAAAATGAACCCTAAAATAGGGGTAAAATTATAATAAAACATTTTAATTCTAATTCAAAATTGAAATATGCTATAATCTATCATCATTTAAAAAACCTGTAATTTACTTTAAAAGAGGGTATGAAAAATGTTATTCTCTGCATTTTCTCTAAAAACAAGATCGGTTACAATACCTATATACTCTAAGAGATATTTTTAAAAAATAATTAAAAAAGTCTAGTTTACAATAAAAAAAAATGATTGTGTGCGTTTTTTTTTTTTTTTTTTTTTTTTTTTTTTATAATTAGGGGCATCTTCCACTTGAAATAAGTGAGTTAAGACACATACCATGCCCTGTTGAAATATAGTAAAAAAGTTATAATATTTTACAAATAATAAAAATTGTAATTATTATTATTACCTAAAAAAAATTGTTAAGTTATTATAATAATCATTTTAATTTTATCATATACATTATATAATAATTATGTTATATATCTACAGCATATATATATAGTCATTTGCAGTTTTATTTTTTTCTTTTTATTTTTGGCTATCGTTTTCCTCTATAATTTCAGTTTTTCCCTTGTTGATGTTTGCTCTTTTATTGTCGTGTTAACTTTAGCATGACTTTTTAGTTCTTAAGATTTTCTGTTGTCGTTTTCAACCTTTACTATTTTACTGTCGTTAATGTGTTGCCGGTTTTCCATTTATTGTCGTTTTTTCTCGTTCCTTGTTTTTTCTAGTCCTTTCCCTTTTTCTTTTTTTGCTCAATTCTAGTCCTTTCACTTTTATTGCCTTCTTAACATTTTTCTTTTGGGTTGGCCGTCGTGGCTATTAAATGATCTTAGGCCCCATTCACTTCGATGATTCGAGTTTAGAATTTGAGTTGAAATGTGACTTTATGTGAGAGTTTTTTACTATAGCAAAAAAGTTAGATGTGATTGTTTGTGAGAGCTTTTTACTGTAGAAAACTCAAATTATAAACTCGAATCAGCGAAGTGAACGGGCCCTTAGGTTTCTGTTTTTTCTTCATTTGTCGCTTGGCTCTTCGATTGTCGTTTTCCATTTTATTGTCTTTATTATTCGGTCATGTTTTTACCTTTTATTAGTTCTGTTGTGCTTTTGATTTCCCAATCTTGTTGTTTGCACGTTTGTTTTCGTTTTCCGTTTGTCCTTTCAAATTGATTGTCTTTTTTCCCACTAATTGTTGTTTTAAAGTTTTTTGTCGCTTCTCCTTACTATCGTTTTTTTACCTTTTTTTTTTAGTCTTCTATTTATTTTTTCTACCACTGTGGCCACTCTACTTGACCTTCAAGATGTTGTTTCAATTTGCACTTTCATTGCCATTTTAAGTTGTATTATTACCTTTTTTTAGTTTTCAATGATAATTCTTTTTTTGAATGGTTCAATAATAATTATTTATTAGTTTGGCCTTTCCATTCTTCTTTTATATTTTATTATTGTCACTTGCTTCTTTTGCTGTTGTTTTTTTTTTTTTTTTTTTTTTTTTTTTTTTTTTTTTTTCACTTGCGTCTTGGACTCACTATGACGTCGTTCCCCCCTTTTTCTCCCCCTTTACTTCCCTGTTTCACACCTCACTTTAAGTTCAAGCAATTCATATATGTATAATAAAACTCTTTTGCTTCTCTTTTTCCTTTAATTTATCCCTTCATTCAACCACTATAGTGGAGTGGAATATTTCTATACTTCTTTCGTATTTAATTATGGTATTAACGGATAAAGGAAAACTATGTGGCTCTAGCATAAAAATTAAAAGAGTTTATCTGATAAGTCAAGTTAGTTTTATTAAAATTTTTAGCCTTAGATTATGTTAAAATCACATCAGATTGAAAAAATATGCAGAATAAATAGTTTTTAATACAGAGTCATCGACTGAAAATTAAGAACTACGGGAGAAGTTCTCAAAAATTAAATACCAAATCCAAGCCAAACTTTGCCAAATACTCTTCTAAATCTGTATACCTTAAATGCAACAAATACATAAATGCACTTCCCTTAAATGCAGCAAATGTAAAATGCACTTCCTTAGATTCTTCTTTTTGAAAAGGACATTTAGCCCTTTTCAAGCAAAAAAATCCGGTTAAGAATTTTCTTCTTTGTCTACCAATGTGGCTCGCTGCTATTGGATTGGACTACAATTTTTTGGCTTCCAAGATTGAAATATATTGGAGGTGTTTTCGGTCTTTTCAAAAGCAGATAAACATATGCACGCCAGAAAAGAAAAATGGTAACGTCATTTCTGTGAACCTTAACATATTGGTCACAATAAAATAATTTATTAATATCTTCCGAATAATAGGTACTTGGCGTCAGCCTCTACACATACAAACAATATTTCTCCAGCCATCATATGAGTTGTATTATATATCCTTCGGTAACTGCGAGACTTACGCTGGGATCATACCCATATATATATATATATATATATATATATACATACATACACACACACACACACACATACATACACCAGCATATATAGCTCGTGAACTTCACAAAGCATCGAGAGAGCTAGAAAGAGAGAATTGCGTGCATGTGGAGATGAAGTACTGGCTGTCGTTCACGTTGTTTCTGTGCGGTTTTGCATTGTCGTTTACTGTTTTCTGCAAAGCTCTTGCCGGAAACGTGACGTACGACGGGAGGTCTTTGGTTATTGATGGCCAACATAGAATTCTTTTCTCTGGTTCCATTCACTATCCTCGAAGCACTCCTGAGGTATTACTACCATATATTATATATATATACGTATATGTATACGTGTTTACATTTATATATAAGCACATGGATACATGCTTCTTCAATTTTATACTTTAAAATGTTATTTTCTAGTAGTGTTGTCCGTTTTCTTTTTCTCCTATATTCTTATTTTATGGATGATCGTCATTGGGGCTTCCGTTTTGTGAAATGTGGATTGGCTTGGTTCATAGGAATAAAGTTATACCCATTCATTTTACTGATTCGAGTTTATAATTCGAATTTTATTGTAATAAAAAACTCTAAAAAATAGTCACATTTAACTTTTTTACTATAATAAAAAGTTCTCACATAAAGTTACATCTTAACTCGAATTAAAAATTTAAATTAGTAAACTAAACAGACCCTTAATTACTACAGAGGAGAGTACGCACTATCGAAATCATCTAATTCTTGTTGTCCCAAGTTGGTAAGAAACGAGATATATACTATGTGTTGGAGAAAATCACGAAGTTAACGCCAACCGTTTATGTGCGTGACTTTTAGTGTGTATACATAATACATGCATGTATACATAGACATAGTGTGTGTGTGTATATATATAATATGTATGTATATATGCATTTGTGTATGTATGTATATATAGAATACTCCAAGTGAAGAGTATAAATGAATTAACGTTTCAATATTAGTATCACGTCTATATATGTTACGGTGTTCGATCCCTATTAAAGCATGCTCATATCCTACAAAGAAAAGAACAAAACACGCACTAAAAGTTTATTTAGAAAAACAGATTGTTAAAGATTAATTTTATGATTAAAATCTTATATCATCCTAATTCCTTACTATATATCGTATAGTACTTTTCTTTAGTTCTTTCTATATATATATATGGTCTCCCTTAAAAAGGGAGGGGAAATTTTTTCCTCTTATGATCATGTTCAAAATCCCTAATTCCCTATATTTCTTTTGCTCACAATATAATCTTGTCGATTAGTACATTATCTTTAAGAAGGGTCTTCCTTATTCTTAATTTTCTGGGTTTTTTTTTTTTTTTTTTTTTTGAAACTAATATTATGGCGAGATTTCGTGCACGTTGCCTTTTACTGAAAAATAGTCCTTAATTATAGAAAGGACAGGAACTCTCACTGTATAGAGGAATTTTCTTATTTTGTATTGAAAAAGGAAACATGAAGCTTTGATAATGAACATAGTTATCTTTTAATTTAGATGTTTTTTTAATGCAAATTTAAATTTATGTGTACGTTTGTTGTCTGCCGGATCATTAGCCTTGTATTGTGGTGTTTTTTTTACTCTGTTTTTGTTCAAATGCAAGTTCTCTGATATATAGGCAGTGTTTGGAATTATCCTGTTTTTATTTTTTACGTTTTTTAAAAAATAAAAAATGAAAATGTTTCCAAAAGGACAAAAAACAGAAATGAAAACGATTTTTCAGTTTAATGTAAAATGAGAGAAATGAAAAAATGACTTTTAGTCTTTTTTTTTTTTTTTCGTTTTCTCCTCTCTCGAGCAGAGAGAGAGAAAGAGCGACATTAATGGGTTTTTTTACACTGAAAATAATCTCTTGATAAAACTACCAAACGCATTTTTAAAAATGATTTATGTCTGAGATTGAAAACGTTTTCATTTTCATACAAAAAATAAAATTATTTTAGAACGAGTTCCAAACGCGCTCATAGATTTTTATTAAAAAAAAAATTTAGAGGTTTGCAACTTGCTAGATGGAAAACCCAATGTTGATAAATTCTCACTACTCTATAGGTAGCGGTAAGCGCTTTTGGTATACCGACTAACAAATAGTTTCATCATGGAGTAAGCGTATGACTCCATGATTCCTTCTACTCTCGGCTTTTGTCTTTGTTTGTTTATGAACTAAGATTGTTATTCCTGCTCATACTTTAGATATACAACCAAATATCCTAACAAACCCAATGAAAGTTTATCGGCTCTTACTGAAAAAAAAAATCAAAAACAAAAAAAATTGAAAATTGAAAAAGTTCCTACACTTTCATTAGCTTATAGATAAGATTAGACCGAAACATACCGTCCCAAAAAGCTACGGATATTATTGCTAAATTTTATTGAAATATAGCAAAAAATTTAGGATATTTAATAAATTGCAAACTTGATATGGTTAAAATAATTACTACCTAATTTTGTATTTTAAATTTGAGTAATTGTTATATAATTTTTGTTATTCCTAAAATATTTCAAAACAAAATTACTAATTTCAAATTTACTCATAAATTTGTCATGAAAATCAAAATTTTCGGATCAAATCTGTTATAACCATGAGTTCCACTGGAAAAGATTGGAGATGCAATTCAAAAAGTTAACATAATAAGTGCAGTAGTCAATTCTCTTATAAACCCATCATAGATCGTATTTGTTACCAATGTTGGACTTGTTCGCACTTCTAACAAAATCATTGACGTAAAGCAGCAAACCAGCTCTAATACTGCATTTCAAACTATATATGAAATATGCATTTTTATTTAAAAAAAAAAAAAAAAACTATGACACATGTGAACGTTGTGCAGTAATTTGGTAGCATACTGTGTTGCAATAACCGGGTGATTTTAGGTGAAAAATTCGATCCCGTCAAAATTATCAATGATGATAAATAGTATTACTCCTTTTTTTTTTTGGGTTTAAGTACAGTGTCTAAGCAATTACCTTATGCTTCCTCCAATCAGAACAACCATAGATTTAAGAGTCTATTTAGTTCGCTGATTCGAGTTTTTAATTCGAGTTGAGATGTAACTTTATGTGAGAGCTGTTTATTGTAGTAAAAAAATTAGATGTGACTGTTTCTGAGAGTTTTTTACTGTAACAAAACTCGAATTCTAAACTCAAATCGATAAAATGAACGGACCTAAATAATTTTGTTAATGATACGTCGTTTCCTGCAGATGTGGCCATCCTTGATAGCCAAAGCGAAAGAGGGAGGTATAGATGTAATACAAACATACGTCTTTTGGAACCTTCATGAACCCCAACAAGAAAAGGTGACCTCAAGCTCTTCTTTCTTTTTTCGTCTTAAATTTTTGTTTATGGTCTAATATCAACAACTCTTATATAATGCTAATTCTGTAACTGAGTAATCTCTATTTTGCAGTATGATTTTAGCGGAAGAAATGACCTTGTAAGGTTCATTAAGGAAATTCAAGCACAAGGCCTCTATGTTTGTCTTAGGATTGGACCCTTCATTGAGGGTGAATGGTCTTACGGGTACAACTTACAACTTAAAAAAAAAAAACACTTTTTGTCAACATTATCACTAAGGGTTCGTTTAGTACGAGAATTCAAATCAGAATGATTCTAATTATGATTCTGAAATTAGAACTATGATTCATAATTTTGAGTTCAAATCATTATTCTGAAACAATGATTCAGAATCAGAAGTTTGAATCACCTTGAACCAAGAGGGGAGTGGTTTTAGAATCATGATTTTAGCTAGTTTAAAACTTCACATCAGATTTCAAATCATGATTTATAATCATCCAAACCAAACACTGATTCTGAATCATGATTTAAAATCACTGTAAACAAACACTGATTCTGAACAAGAATTCAGAATCATGATTCTGAACAAGGATTCAGAATCATGATTCTGAATCCATCTACCAAACGCACCATAATTTATTCTTTCACTTATGGGAAAATACTTTAATAAAAAAAATGTTATGGTGGTGAAGGGGTTTTCCGTTTTGGTTACATGACATTCCGGACATCGTCTTCAGAACTGATAATGAACCCTTCAAGGTACTATTTTGTCATTTCACTTCATGGCCAAATTTGTGCACAACTTATTTGTAGGGCTGTTCATAAACCTGAACAACCCGCAAACCCAACCCACCCCGCCCCAACCCAAGTCGAAAAAATCAACCCGCAGCATTATTTTTAAATTTGCGGCTCATTATACCTCTGGCCCGAAGTGTTTGGGGCGGATTGCAGGTTGGGCCCATAACAACCCGCAATCCCCAACCCAACCCGCACAACATACCCCCAAGCTTTTGGCCCAAGCCGAACTGCCTAAGTTCTACCCTAGGCTCATTAACATTAGGGTTCACAATCTCATTCTCGGTCTCCCCTCCCGTGAACCCCCTATTCTTGCCTCTTCCTTTTCAGTTTTTCCTCTTCTTCCCCTCTCGTGAACCCCCTCATAACTCTCTCCTCATTGCTCAGTCATCTCGGCCGCCGTCTTGCCCACTTTCTCTGGTGCTCTCTCGCCGGACTGATAAGCATGGTTACTATTTCTATTTAATGATGAAATTTGAATATTATATTGAACTTTAAGTCTTTGATTTTTTGAATGTTGAAACCGACCACCCAACCCACCCCGCACCGCCCCAACCCAACCCGAACAACGTTGGGTTGTGAAATTTTTCTAACATCGTTGGGGCCAAATATGTGCAACTCGCACCCTTTGGGGCGGAGAAAAAAAAGTCCTACCCCGCACCAACCCAACCCATGAACAGCCCTACTTATTTGGATAAAAATATTATTATTATTATTAATATTATTATGTATGTTTTGTTATATAACAGAAAGAAATGCAAAGGTTTGCAACGAAAATCGTGGACATGATGAAAGAAGAGAGACTGTATGCATCACAAGGTGGGCCCATTATACTGTCACAGGTAAAGAATCTAAAACAAAAATCAGGCTTAATCAGTTGGAGTGCACTAAACTTGGGTTAATTAAAAATGGGAGTGTATATGTGTGTCAGATTGAGAACGAGTACAAACTAGTAGAAGAAGCTTTTCATGAGAAAGGAAAGTCTTATGTTCGTTGGGCTGCAAACATGGCAGTGGGGCTTCAAACTGGTGTCCCCTGGGTAATGTGCAAGCAAGATGATGCTCCAGACCCAGTTGTGAGTTTGATTTCTTTTGTATTAATTATTCCCTTTTTCACTACTTTATTTTTATCAAAACATACTGATCTGACTAAGACTAAGAAAACAAGAACAGAATAACAATTTAATCACATTAGGAAAAAAAAAAAGTGTTATTTTATCATCCACATAGCTACATGAGCATAAAACTATTATGGATTCATCTCCTAACAGTTTAATCTTTTGAGAGAAATATTAAACTAACATAGTACAAAAGGTCCTGAGTTTAGACCGCACTCTCCAAAATTCTCACCGTGTGGTCTTTAATATTGGCGAGTATTAGAATATGGAATTATTTTGTTGATTTACATCCTAACAGTTTAAGATTTTGAGGGAATTGATAAACTAATATGGTAAAAGAACATGAGATACTCATTTTAAACTTGTTAGTATGTCCCACAAAATTACCATAATCAATTAGACTTTTAATATGGTAAATATAAAATTATTCTTTGCTCATCTCGCTTAAGCTTTTAAGAGAATTTACCAGCCAGATAACTCACATTGAGATAAGTAACTTGGATGAATGTTGCAGATCAATACATGCAACGGAATGAGATGTGGAGAAACGTTTGCAGGACCTAACTCCCCTCAGAAGCCAGCTCTATGGACTGAGAACTGGACAAGTTTGTACGTGACTAGCAATTAATGCTCTATGATTCTATCAAATGCTAATGAGATATATGTTATAATATGGTTAATCAATATTTCTCCAACACAAATAAATACTTCCTTTTGTTTTATTTTATTATAATATTTTCTTTTTATTTGGTTCAAGTGTTGAAACCTATGGTGAAGAACCATACATTAGATCACCAGAAGAAATTGCTTTCCATGTTGCACTCTTCATTGCCAAAAAGGGAAGCTACGTAAACTACTATATGGTATGAAAATCTCCCACCTAGGAAAACTTTGTTCTTCTATTTGACAATATCATATTATATTATATTCTGCTTATGTTACAATCTAATGTTTTTCCCCTTAAAAACTGTAGTATCATGGAGGAACCAATTTTGGAAGATCTGCCTCTGCATTTGTAAAAACAAGTTATTATGATCAGGCTCCTCTAGATGAGTATGGTAGGTCCTAATAAGTCACATAATTGATTTTTATTGATATTCAACCCAATTAGCTTTTTTTTTTTTATATATTTATTTATTTAAATTTCCAGGTTTAACCAGGCAACCAAAGTGGGGTCATCTTAAGGAATTACACGCTGCAATGAAGTTATGCTCAAAGCCTCTAACTTCTGGACAACAAACTACTCTCCCTTTGGGTCAACTGCAACAAGTACGAGCACCAAAAATCTATCAAAAACAATAAAAAAAATTAATAAATAAATAAATACATGATCCAGTAATGCCAAATATGGTCGATCTTGTTTTCTAGGCCTATGTCTATGGAGACTACAAATCAGGAGATTGTGCAGCTTTCTTAGTCAACAATGGAAGCAAAGATGCTGAGGTCCTCTTTTATAATGTGTTGTATCAGCTGCCGCGCAAATCCATTAGTATCTTACCGGATTGCAAAGCTGTTGCTTTCAACACTGCAAAGGTAATAGAAATTGGCATCTCATAATACTCTAATTTAAGAGGTTTTGCATATGCAGCTACTAATATTATCAGTCCAAAATATTGATCTTGTTGGACAGGTAAGCACACAATATGATACAAGAACAATGGTTCCATGTGAAAAGTTTGGTTCAAAGGAGAGATGGGAAGACTTCAGAGAGGCCATGCCTGACTTCGACAAAACTTCTCTAAGAGCAACCGTGTTACTAGAGCAGATGAACACAACAAAAGACGAATCTGATTATCTTTGGTACACTTTAAGGTGACCAAAGAGTCGGCCAAATATTTTTAAACTTAATCCATATGATTTACTGACGTTTCTTAAGTTTCAGGTTTCAGCACGATTCCCCGAATGCTCAGGCTACGCTCAATGTGCAGTCTTGTGGACATGTTTTGCGTGCATTTGTAAATGGACATTTTGTAGGCAAGACCCTTATTATCTTCCTTGAAATCTTATATTCTCTCACACCAAGGTTTTTTTTTTTTTTTTTTTGGGCAAAAGCCTTCTTTGTAGCTCTTAATCAATACTTATGGTTTACCATTCTTACTTCTTAGGATCTGAACATGGTTCTCACAACAATCCAATATTCTCACTAGAGAGCAATATTACTTTGAGTAAGGGAATGAACTATATCTCTTTGCTCAGTGAAATGGTTGGATTGCCGGTACTTTTCAATCTCCACTCTAAATTCTTTCGTTAGTTTATGCAACATTTAGCCAGATAAAGACTGTCATCATGATTATACAAAGATCTGTTTGTTTCTTCTTTATTCTTGTCCCCCATTTGAAGCTACTATTTGGTCTGAATTTTGTGCTATGCGTTTTTGATGTGAAGAATTCAGGAGCATATCTCGAGCGAAAAGTCGCCGGACTACGCAGTGTGAGGATTGAAGGTAAAGATTTCAGCAGATACTTGTGGGGTTATCAGGTAATTGTCCAAGAAGGATCTGCCATACTATTTTTCCTTCCTTTTTTTTTTTTTTTCGTTGACTGACAAACAATTTTATGAAGGTTGGATTGTCAGGTGAACAACTGCAAATCTATTCAGATCTTGGATCGAGAAAAGTTGAATGGAACAAGTTTGGAAGCTCGGATAATCAACCACAACCTCTCACATGGTATAAGGTATGAAGATAAAGAAATGTCCTAGTTATCACATAATGTACTTTCCAAGTCATTTTCTATTTTATTTTTGGCAGATTGAATTTGATGCCCCTGCTGGAAGTGAGCCTCTAGCATTAAACCTTGGTTCCATGGGAAAAGGTCAAGCTTGGATCAATGGTCAAAACATCGGCCGTTACTGGGTCTCTTTCCACACATACAAGGGGCAGCCATCTCAAACTTGGTAATAAGGCCTCTCATCAGTAGTAACCCCAAAACAAAGAGCAACGCTAGGGAGCACCACATATTAACGGAGAGTGAGTCTCACAATATGAGATGGGACCCACTTTCTATTAGTTGTGTTGCCCCCGAGCATTTTTTAAGCGTTTGTATTAATCCCTTTAATTTAGGTTCACTAGAAATTTACTATATTCTCAATTTTAGGTACAATGTCCCTCGGTCCTTCCTGAAGCCTAGTGGCAACTTGTTGATTCTTCTGGAGGAAGAGAATGGGAATCCACTAGGGATTTCTCTGGATAGGGTTTCAACAACAAGAGCGTGTGTGAAAGTGTCTGAATCACACTTACCCCCAGTGACTTCATGGTTGGTAGAAAAGCAAGGTGGAGTAAAGAAGAACAATAGACAAAAGAACGGTCGGAAAACACCGCCGTACGTTCAACTCAGCTGTCCCCGAGGAAGGACGATTTCTAAAATCCTATTTGCAAGCTATGGAAACCCTGCCGGTGATTGTCAAAGCTATGCCCAAGGAAGCTGCCACGCATCTAATTCCAAAACAATAGTGAAGCAGGTGAGAGTTCTTATGTTATTATTCATTAATCATAAAATCATATATACACATTTGAGTACTTCTATTCTAGAATCTAGTTGTTACTTGAGTTTTCTGATATGAGTTTGATATATTCTATATCCCATATTGAATTAGATATTTTGTTGAGTGATTTGTGTTCTCAGGCTTGTTTGGGGAAGAGAAGTTGTTCCATCTCTGCATCAAATGGAAAATTTGGCGACCCATGCCCAGGACTCCTAAAAACTCTAGTGATTGATGCACAATGCAAATGACAGCCTGGTTTTTCACACTCCCTCAGAGAAGGATTCGACGACCACACCATTCTCTCTTGTTCTTTGATATCTATGTGCAACAATCAATGTACCAAAAAAAAAAAAAAAAAAAGATCATTCTAATAAATAGATTGCATTACTAATATTATGAGTCTCAACACAAAAATAAAGAAAAAGGGGATTTCAAACTGTGGATCAAAGTGATTGTGCACGGAAGAAGTCGTGAATAGACGCCTAAGGCTAAAATGGTCAAGAAAAACCTAAGTTGCACAAACCCGTTAAGTAAATAAGAGCATCGATGTGAAGAATTGTACTGGTTTATCCATTTATATGCGAAAAAATGCTACTCTACACATACAATCCCTGGAGCCAGAAGACTAAACCTAAAAATCAATCATGATTCCAAAATTTAATTACTAATCAATCATCAGCTACAGTTTCTGCAATAGTGTCTGCTTCAACATTCTTTCTCTTAATGGATTTCTTCCTGTTTGCATTTGAAAAGTGTGATGGTAACATAGCCTTTTGTGAAGGTAATTCTGCAATAAAAAGCATCGTCTGAGCCCACCCGGCATACTTCCCAAACTTATTCACGAATGCCTCCGCCACACGGCTGCAAAGCTTAGGTGTCAAATGGGCACCAGCTAGCTCTGGTAAGAGGTATCTTATAGCAATCTTCCTCAGCCAAGAGAGCACAACAACAAAAAAGAACTTGCTAAGTCAGAAATTCTTGAACTAAAACTCAGAAAAGAGATACAAATGTTAGATGAAATAATATTCATTCAAGGTATTGGATTCGAGTCAATCCCACTACGGTGGGCAAGAAATATGATCAATCCACTTCATGATACATCTAAATGCCATACAGGGGAATGTCTGTCTTCAGTCCCTAAGATTATCTCGGTACGACACTCTCTATGCCTGTAATTCTTTTTCTTTAGCAAACAAAATCAACAAAATGGAAGTTTTTCTTTTTCCATGGCTTTTCATTTAGGTGAATATTTGACTAGAAGCAAGTAACATAGAACACACAAGGATTGTGCTAAGGTATTGATCAACCAACACAAAAAGGAGCCATGTTAGATGTTCTAAAGTTTTACCATCTTCACAGTAACTCAATGTAGCTAGCTCACAACATCATACTTTCGTCTTGAAGTGAAAGATAAGCATACCTGCCACACGTGAGTGTCAACAGGAATGGCATGGTGTTGATCAAGAGAGAAGAGAGCGATGCACGCCGCAACTTTGGGACCAACCCCAGGTAAAGTGGAAAGGGCATAAATAACGTCTTCAAGTTCAGAATCACGAAGAGACAAAAGCCACTCTTCACCTCCACCATCTTTTGATTGTAGCTTTTTCACAGTGCCAGTAATGTATTTGGCCCTGTCCAGACCACCCCATCAAGATAAAACGCCAAGTTAGATCATAATCTTACAACAACATTTTTCTCGACATGGTCGACTAACTTAGCATGGAAAGAGAGAAAGTTTTCAGCATCAATCAGAATACAATCGTGCAAGCATTATCAGGTAATCTTATTCAGACTCTATTATTGACCAAAAACATAAACTTATATAAGAATAACCAAAAAAACTTAAAATGGTGCCAAGTTAAGTTCACTTGAGCAGTAATATTGAGTTATGTGGATCCTAATTATGGTCTTGCGAGACATGAGGTGCGTAATTCTCTTGTAATTTTCTTCTTTGTTACGGTGAAATTCTACGGCCGCTGAAAATGAATGTAACTCTTGTCACTGTAAATTTTGTGGGCGCTTGTTTGTCTTATACATATATATACAAGTGGTCAAAACCAGTCAATAAAATATAATTAGCATGGAGATTTACATAACAATTATCATAAAACAAACATAAATGATAAACCAATGACTAAAATAGATATTTACCAACCTATAACCAAAACCGGCGTCTCTAAACTCTTGCTCCGACAGCGTTGACAACCGCTCCATAGACGGAAACTCATGAAAGTCAAAACCTTCAACGGTCCCTAAATAATTTCCCAACGACGAAACGAAGTCCACCATCTTCGTTATTCTCCCGATATTGTTATTGGAAGAACAAAGAAACTGAACCAAGCACTCAAAAGGGTCTTGCCTGAGCACCCGAGCGCCGCCCAAATGGCGGGCCAGCTCGGCGAACCTCGAGTCCGAAGCCGAAAAGACCTCCCACATCTCGGCAAGCGAAATGCTCGCGTTGAGAAAATCCCGCAGAGCCGATTCGGCCTCGGCCTCGGAAGGCGTGCGGTGAAGGCAGAACGAAACGTCGCCGTTGGAGGCGTCGTGCTTGAGGGAGACGAGGTGGGGCCCGACGGCGCCGGTGTACTGGAGAGGGCCGGTTTTTCGCCAGCGGAAGGTTTGGCCGGTGGGGAAGGTGAGGGGCAGGGAAAGCTCCGATTGGGGGAGGTTGAGAGGGACCCACGCCCACTTGGTGGGGTCCACCGGGATTTTGGAGGAGTGATGGCGATGGGTTTTGGGGATGGTTTTTGGTTGTGGGGTTCGTGGTGGTGGTGGTGGGATGGTTTTTGGTTGTGGGGTTGGTGGTGGTGGTGGTGGGATGGGTTTAGATTTGAGTCTCTTGCTCATGATTGGGAGAGAACCGGGCTTCAAGGAGTGCATATTAGATGGTTGTGGGAATTGGGGTTCTCAATTGAAATCTCTCTCTCTCTAAGAATGTTATGTTTAGAGAGAGAGAGACTGATAATTGGAATTTCGTCTGTTCACCGGCTTTTGTTTCTCTCCCATGTTCCACCACGGCCGGGCTGCGGCTGTTTGACCGTTGGAAGGAAGGGATGAAGTGGGGAGGAGGGAGCAAGGACTAATACGGGCTCGACTTTGATTAGTTCTGCAAAGTGGCCCAGCCAATGATCACTAAACCGTGTCAGGCCTCGTACAAAAAGTTTGCTGCCATGACCCATCGGCCATCTCAGAGGAAAACGACATGTTTATTTTATTAGTTAGTTTGGTACGTGATTTAAATTAGAGTGATTTTAATTATTATTTTAAAATTAAAATTATGATTTATAATTTTAAAGTTAAATTATAATTATAAAATAATAATTTAAAATTATGAGTTTAAATCAGTTTGAATCAAGAGAATGGTAGTTTTAAAATTATAAGTGATTTTGGTTTAAAACATCACATTAAATATGATCATGAATCATCCAAATTAAATACTGATTTTGAATCATGATTTAAAATAAATAAACACTGATTCTGAATCATGATCTAAAATTATGATTTTAGATCAATCTATCAAACAAATCCTTAGATGTTGCGATTATTTAAGAATTCGAAATATAAAAAAAAATTGGAAAAGTAGTGTTCCAAAAAAAAAAAGGATAGTACCCACATAGTGCTTACCATTCAGGAACTAACGTGGTAATAACTAATAAGTAATGACCCCAAAAATTTATATCCGCAAACAAAATCTCATTTTTTTAGATTTAAATTTATTGTCGTTGGGAACAAAACAACGACACATGATTTACAATTTATACTTCAGTTGTCATTGCAAAGGATGCGCGATTAATGGTACATTTTGCTGTCCTCTAACTCTAACCATAGAAACGACATGTCATTTATATCACAAAATTTCTCGCAGCAACATGAAAACGACAGGAAATTTTAAGGCTTTATTGCACCGGTACCCCTCAACTTTTTGTGATTGGTAAATCAGTCCTTAAACTTTTTTTCTTCACAATCAACCCCTTAAACTTTAAAAGCGCCGTTCACGAGTTTAGAATTCAAATTTTACAACAATAAAAAGCTCTCAAAAATAGTTACATCTAATTTTTTTACTACATTAAAAAATTCTTATATAAAATCATATCTAACTCAAATTAAAAACTCGAATCAACGAATTAAATAGACATGTATTGTATCAGTGTCCTTCTGATCACATCTGTTAAATTACAAATAGTTCTTACCCACTTGACCTTTTTTTAAGGGCATGCTGGTCTTTTTGTAAGAAAATAAATTGAAAAAAATTATAATTTTTATGGTCTCATGGAAGCACCTTCCCACTCACCCAGATCTTCATCAGCCCCCCCTCTACTTCTGACCTTACCGTATCTCCTCATTATTGTGCTCCTCTTCCTTGGCAAGTCACTGTGTTGCCAGACCTTTTCTCTGCTAGATCTTGTTGTTGCAATGCCATATCTCGGCCTTACCGCACCTTTTTCTCTGCTAGATCCCGTCGTCGCAAAGCCCCTCTTTCTCACCAATCTCTGCCTAGCCATGCCTCCCCTCCACGAAATGTGGCCATCGCAACGCCCCTCTCCTTCACCAGATCTTGGCCTTGCCGTGCCACATTCTTCGCTAGATCTCGTCTTCATGACGAGCTTGCTCTTTGGAATTTTGTTCTCTTGCATTTTCTAGTTTTAGGTTGGGTCATGGTCGCTTCTTTTGTTTTGAATTTTGTTCTTTAGAATTTTGTGATTTTCTTGTTGGATTTAGATTTTATTTTCTGAAATTTGTGAGTTTTTACTCTTTTTTTCCTTCAAATTTTCTGCGTTTTGGTTGTTTAGTTGTGTCGTGGGAAGGAAGGAGAACAATTAATCGCATGGGGAAGAAGAAAACCATTGTTGTCAATCAAAAATGAAATTTACTGTGGTTTGCAAATTAATTTATTGCCCCGTTTAGTGTGCAGAAGATAACCATTGATGATTTTTCATTTGTCTTCCTCCCTTTTAATCTACTGAAGATCTCCATTGTCTTCAATCAGAAACGATTTTTTTTTAGAAAAGCAAATTAATTGGAGAATGCAAGGGAGCCTTTGACGAAAAGCAAATTAATTTATTTGCAAAATATAAATGTAGCCAACTCATTCAATACACGTGTGTTGTGATTAGGGAATGGGAGAGAGATTTTGGATTGAATCTGTCGGAGAAACTATGGTTCGTTTCGCTGATTCGAGTTTTGCTACAGTAAAAAACTCTCACAAATAATCACATCTAACTTTTTTACTACAGTAAAAAGCTCTCACATACAATTAAATCTCAACTCGAATTCTAAACTCGAATCAGCGAAACAAACGAGTATTGATTTCACTTATACAGAGTTTAGAATTTAAATTTTACTGTAATAAAAATTTTAATTTTTTTATTATAATAAAAAAATTCTCATATAAAATTAATTAAAAATTTAAATTAACGAATTAAATAAACCCATTAATTTATAAATTTTCAAGTTTTGCCCCTCATTCAATGCCCATGTGCGTCAATTTCCGTTAATTTTTTGACGGAGTACCACTAATACAACACATTTTAAAGTTTAAAGGGTTGATTGTTAAGAAAAAAAAGTTTGGGGACTGATTTGCCAGTCCCGAAAAGTTGAGGGGTACCGATGGAAAAAAGTCAAATTTCAATCGACGTGTCGTTTATTTACAAAGTTGCTCACTTGCCATATTATCACACGCGCGAATGGGGACCTTATTCTCACGCTCTCAAGCTGAATTTTTCCATTGAAGAATTTTGCTCGGCAAAGCCAAACAGTACACAAAGCTGAAAGGAGAGAGAGAAAGAAAAGCCCTATTCTCTGTCACTCGCACTCTCTCTCTCTCTCTCTCTCCACCATCCTTGGGAGGAGTTTGATTCTATTTTGCACCAATCAAAGACCCCACAAATCTCTTTCTCTCCCCTCAAATCCATTTGCGCAATGCCAGCTTCCCCTTCCTTCCCTTCAGGTAACTCTCCCTAACCTAATTCTCCTTTCTCCCCCCTTCATTTCTCAACAATTTCACATTTTTTTTTTCCTTTTTCATGAAATTTGCATTCACAAATTTTTTCCTTTATTTTTAGCCCTAAATTTAAGGAATTCTGAACTAAAATGTTTTTTTTTTTTTTGGGGGTTTTTTTGTACAGACGGGAGGGGCAAATGGAGGAAGCGAAAGAGAGAGCCCCAAATCAACCGGAGGATGAAGCCAGAGGATGAAGACGAAGACGAAGAGGACGTCGATGACGACCTCGATCAGCAACGCGAAGACGATTATTCCGAGGGTGGGGCCCACCCAAACCCCCAACAATCGGGTCGGCCCGCCTCCGCCGATCCCGGCCCTCCCCAAGAGGCCGAGGTCCTATCCGACGGCGGCGTCCGCTACTGTGACTTCCCTCCGGTGGTCCGCCACGCAGTCAATTGGCCCCACCCCTCCCTGCTCGCCATTGTGGCTCTGGAGCGCGCCAATCAGAGCGGGGAGAGCAAGGCCCAGGGCCAGGGCAGCCCCGTGTTCTTGGAGAACGTGTCGTACGGCCAGCTCCAGTCGCTATCCGCCGTGCCAGCCGATAGCCCGGCCTTGGACCAGGACCGCTCCGAGGGCGGGAGTTCGTCGTACGTGGTGACTCCGCCGCCGATTATGGAAGGCCGGGGCGTTGTTAAGCGGTTCGGGAGTAGATGCCATCTCGTTCCAATGCATTCCGGTTCGTTAGTCCTTTCTCATATTCTCCTAGGCCTTGCATTTTTGGTGCTCTATTTTAGGTCAATTTGACAAAATTCGTGCTGATTAAGAACTTCATTTCCATTTCCCTAGCAAATAATATGCGGTTGGATTTTATAAAATTGCATGCTTTACTTGTGTTCTTCATCATATGATGTCCAATAATAGGTTGTATTGTAAATTCCGGGTCTTGAAAGAATGGACGTTTTAGAGAGGTTTACACTTTACACTTTTTTTTTTTTTTTTTGGTTTTCATTTGTTAGGGGTTTTCTTTTTCTTGTGGCAGATTGGTTTTCACCAGCCACAGTGCATCGATTAGAGAGACAAGCGGTGCCTCATTTTTTCTCAGGAAAATCACCTGACCACACTCCCGAGAAATACATGGAATGTAGGAATTATATTGTTGCCAAGTACATGGAGAACCCGGAAAAGCGGCTCGCAGCCTCTGATTTCCAGGTATTGATAGTTGGTATTGATGGCGAAGATTTGAATAGGATAGTTAGGTTTCTCGATCACTGGGGAATTATCAATTACTGTACTGCTGCACCAAGTCGTGAGCCTTGGAATGGCAGTTCCTATTTGAGGGAGGATCCAAATGGTGAGATTCATGTACCATCAGCCGCTTTAAAGTCGATTGATAGTTTAATCAAGTTTGACAAGCCCAAATGTAAGCTTAAGGCGGCTGATGTTTATACGCCGTCGTCATGTCATGATGACAATGTCTCTGATTTGGACAACAGAATTCGTGAGCGTCTATCTGACAATCACTGTAATTATTGCTCTCGGCCTCTTCCCACCGTGTACTATCAGTCGCACAAGGAGGTAATTTCTATCATCTTATAAGTATTGTCAAAATTTCTTCAACCTGCCACTGCTAGATGTTTTTTGAATTAGAACTACTTTGCAATAGAGTTCTACAGCTGTTAATGTATTATAGAGGATGTGTTCTACAATGGGATTACGTTGGAGTTACCAAACCTCTGTTGAGAATAATATGAGATTATGCACTCTGTACTGGGTAATCTGATCTATAGAAATTTGAATTTAATATGACTTACTAGACTATGGATTTACTATGTTTACTAGACTATCTTGTATACCGTGAAATGTCTTTTAGAACTTTTTTAGTTGCTTCAAAACTGTTTGCAATATTAAACATACCTGCCATTATGGGGAGTGAAAGGGGAGAAGTGATTGCAATTTAAGTAATAGTTTCCAGTGGGTACAAGGAAACAAACAACTGATTGGCTCGATAGATTTGAAGCTATTTGTTAATTCCAGAGTTTCATGCTGGTTCTGTAAAGTCTTTAAAATCTATGGTTGTGCCTTCATATAGAGGCAAAGACATTTTTCTATAATAAAGTGCATGACTTTACGGTTGAAGGACCATCTACTTTGCTTGTAATGTCGTTGGGTTCAGTTTAAATTAATTATATTGGCTGATTAGTGTCTTATGAAACAGGTTGACATAATGTTGTGCTCTGATTGCTTCCATGAGGGAAGGTATGTGACTGGTCATTCAAGCTTAGATTTTACACGGGTGGATTCAACAAAAGATTATGCTGATCTAGATGGGGAAAGTTGGACTGATCAAGAAACATATTTGCTACTTGAAGCAATGGAAATATACAATGAGAACTGGAATGAAATAGCGGAGTATGTTGGTACGAAGTCTAAAGCACAATGCATTCTTCATTTTCTCCGCCTGCCTGTGGAGGATGGGCTACTGGAAAATATTGAAGTTCCATCTGTATCATCCAATCAGTCAAATGGAGATGTTCACGGAAGATCACATGCAAAATCAAATGGGGGTTCGGCAGGTCTTCTCATTTCTATCGTTCTTCACTTATCTAGTAAAGGGAATATATTTTTGACGTTTTCTGTCTTTGATCTTCTCTAGGAGTGTACCAAGAAGAGGCTGATTTTGAAAGCAGATTCCCCTTTGCAAATTCTGGGAATCCAGTCATGGCCCTGGTAGGTATCAAATTTTACTTCCAGAGAGGGCACAAATTGAAACAAACGGAGAATGAAAAAGTATAATAGAGATAGTGAATGAATATTTAAAAGAAATTTCCAGAAGATAGGTTTTTTTGCTGCCTTACAATCCTCTTCATAAGTTTGTCAACTAATGGAAGGATCCAAAAAGAAGATTAACTTGTTTTAATCAAGGGAAAGGAATAAGAGTTTATGACAAGTGAAATTCTAGACTTTGGTTGTCTTTCCCTGCGTAGCTAACTGGTGGAACGTCTTGCAGGTTGCTTTTCTGGCCTCTGCTGTTGGCCCCAGAGTTGCCGCAGCTTGTGCGCATGCATCCTTGGCGGCATTGTCTGAGGATAATGGTTCTGAGAGCCTGTTACAGAAGGAAGGATCAGGACATAGTAATAGGTGGGTGTCTTTTGTTCTGACGTTGATTGCTAAGGATTAAGCTATTTCACGTTTGTTGCATTCGTCCTCTAGATGTGTTTCTTGCTTTCAGTAACTTCTAATTATGCAAGATTTTGGTAATTCATTTTCATGTCATACAACTAAAAGGGGCCTACTTCTGCTAATCTTTAAGAGTAATGAGAGGCTTAACTGCTGGTTAAAATGTACGATGGAAGAAGGATTTGGGAAAACCAAATAAAATCTTTGCCAGCAGTTTGTTTGTGTACATCACTCTTATGGCAAAAATCAATTCAGTTCACAAATTTTAAAATTTCTCTTTGCGCGTGAAGGATGACTTCAGAGAGTTTGCATGGGAGAGATAGTGGTCATCAGGGAGAGATTGCAAATTCAGTTCACCAAAAAGGTAATGAGATTTTCGTCTTGTCTTCAGATTTGGTTCCTCTCCTTTCCCCTCTCTCACTTCCGTTCTCTTATTTTATGTGTTTAAACATTAGACAACAACTCAGCGACGCCTAGTTCAAGGGATCAAAATGAGGCAGGGACTGCTCCATTATCAGCGGAAAAAGTTAAAGCTGCTGCTAAGGCTGGCCTTGCTGCGGCAGCAACCAAGGCAAAACTGTTTGCTGATCATGAAGAACGTGAAATTCAGAGACTATCCGCTAATATTATCAATCATCAGGTATACAATTTGTACATGGGAGTTTCTTTTCAGTTTTACATCATGTTGTTGTACAAATAATATAGATGCATTACACAAAGCATAAATAAATGTGTTTTATGCTTATCAATGCATGCAAATTATTCAGTTTTATATTGCTTTTGGGATTGGTTATTAGGTTATTGAAACGTTTCATTTAACTGTGAATTCGATTCTATTCTTCTCATTTGCTATATGCCAAAGTTTCAACGAATAGTTTCCCAATGACAAAGATTCTGTTATTTTTGCTTTTCAATTTTCATCATAACGGGGCAAATTTGATTTTTCTGGCTATCTTATAATGAACCAACCTCTTTAACAATATCTGTGCTGTGAAATTTCTGACAGCTGAAGAGATTGGAGCTGAAGTTGAAGCAATTTGCCGAAGTGGAAACATTTCTAATGAAAGAATGTGAACAAGTGGAGAGGACAAGGCAGAGACTTTTTGCTGAGCGGACTCGATACATTGCGTCACGGATGGGAGCAGCTGGGGTTACTGCTTCTATGAATCCCCCTGCTGTTGGTCCTTCCATGGCGAACAACGCAGGTAACAACAATAGGCAACATGTTATGTCAGCTCCACCTTCACAGCCCACCATATCGGGATACAACAACAACCAACCACAACAAATTCATCCCCACATGCCATTCATGCCGCGGCAGCCAATGTTTGGGATGGGGCCGAGACTGCCACTTGCAGCCATACAGCCGTCCTCATCTGTGCCTTCGAATTTAATGTTCAATGCCTCGGGGAATGCGCAGCCTAGTCTGAATCATCCAATGTTAAGGCCCGTACATGGTACCAGCTCTGGTTTAGGTTGAAAGAAAATTTTATGTAAATTGGTAAGTATTTCTAGTTCTCTTTTGACCGTTGCTTTTTGCGATAAAACCAAAAGGAAAACCTAGAGGAAATGATTATATGCAATGTGTCATTCATGATTCATCTGTCTCAAATTTTTATAGTTTTTTTTTAGTATATAAATAGAAGTTCAGGGGCACTTTGTAGGCTTTTGTATTGGCATACAATTAATTTTGAAGATTAACTTGGCCAAAGGTGGAATGTGATGTAAAAATGATGTCTGACGTTGCGATCGTCTTTCCCCTTTTTGGCCTCCTTTTCCCTTTTTTTTTCCCCTTTGGCCCTTGCCCTTGCTTTTCTTTTTTTCTTTTCCTGTTTTGTTTCTTCTAACTTGTCTTCTATTTTTCGCTTTCTATATTATCCTCATCATTTAACTTGTACATGGTTATAGAAATAAGCTCATCCAAAAGTGATTCCTGTTGTAAAATTGATGTCCGAAATTGAGTTGTTGTCCCCCACCCCCCCCTCTCTGTTTCCTTTTATTTCTTTTTATCCTTTTAGCGCTTTTTTTATATTGTTATTATTATTATTGCCTTGTTTATTGCCCTCTTCCTTTGTTTCCTCGTGATGAAGGGATTATTACGCGCGAGACTACAAAGAACCGCTTTACGACTTGAATTTTGTATATTTGAGAATTCTATGGTGAGTTATGAAAAAGAGAAAAAAAAGAATATATATGTGTGTGTATATATATATATATATATATATATATATATATATCTTATTTGTACAGCTTTGATCAGTTTTGCGAACTTTTTTTATTTTGTTGTGATTTTAATCGGATTTAACTTTTAGAAATCCAGAAACATGCAGTACTTAAGAGTTGAATTTTAACTTAACGGGACTTGTCAATTGTGAATGGTTTTTTAATCTACCTTCTGAAGATTACATTGCGAGACATAACTTTTTTTTTTCTTTAAGTTGATTTTGGTAATATAACAAGTTGAGCTACACAGTGCCGACTCAAAACTGAATGGAGACTGAAGGACAACTAAGTTTATATCAGTGCCTCATCTCATTTATGAGTCGAGAGACGACATTAGCTAAATAAGCATACAAACATTCCAGGCTATATATATATATATATATAACAGAGCCCTTTTCGTTTTCCTTATTAATTTTATGCAACATTACGCTAGAATTTTATTCCTTTCAAATGCTATTTCCTTTTGCCAATCATTCCTTTTCCCAACTGGCATGAAAATTTGACACTATTTTTTGTTGAGAACAAAGATGGCAACAACACATTATTATAATGAAGTCTCTACTTAGGTAAAGGAATATCGGCCAAATCCTCTCTGTAAGGAACGACACCAACATTAGAAATTTGCCCACTTTCCATTTGAATTTGGGCAAAGGGGTCGTTCTTTTCGGACTCGATAAATGTCACGACGGCGTCTTTTCTGAAAGTTAGATAGATGACAGAAACGATGTAGATTGCCATTAATGGAAACACTACGATTCCAATGAACACGTTTGCCACTTTTGGTAAAGAGCTGTGGATTAGCCAATCTACGAAGGCTGTGCTTAGGTAATATATGTTTATGCCTATGATTCCAAATCCTAGAATCCACGAGAAAACTATGATCTGCATATACCAAGATTTAATCAGATAATAATCGGCTTACATGATCTGCTATGCAAATTAAGTCCTGAAAATTTAGTTTATTTATAACTTACGTAGATTGAGTTCTTGTGGGGTCCCATTTTGGTGGCGCTACTACTGAATTTAAGAAGAGGGATTAGAGCAAAAGGGAGTTCAAAGGAAAGTATCATCTGCAAATTCAGATAAAATGTTTCTATTAGAACTTCGAAAGCGAAACAAGGGGAAAAAAATAATAAAAATTTATAGCAAATTAGAAACGAACCGAAGCAATAATAATGAGTCGACCGGCTCCGGATGAGCCTCCAATAATGGAGACAATGAGACTTGGTGTAATGGCAATGGATCTTGTCATTAGATTCCTCATCCATGTTTTCATCTTAAGGTCCAAGAATCCCTATAAAAACAGCACTACGAAAGTTTATATAACGAAGCAAATTTTTAGTCAAAGCTATAACTGAAATACTCATTTAAGAAAGGGTATTTTACAAATTTACCCCTGAACTTGTATGACACTAATAATTTGCCACCTAAATTTTTAATTTTGACATGTTGTCTCCTCAACTTGTAAAATAGTTGCAATATGTCTCATTTTGACGATGATTGTGTTAAATTAGTGTCAAAAAAACACGTTTGACAAAAATTTCTAACATCCCAATTCATATGTAACACAATTTTCAATTCCTCAACTTTTAATTCCTTTAAATTTAAACAAATTTAATAAAATGAGGTACATTGCAATAATTTTAGAAGTTTGGAGGTTAATTGTCGTAATTAAAAATTTAAAGGACAATTTACTAAATCACGTTGAGAGGGTAATTGTGCTAAAAGCCCTTTGAAAAAAAAAAAAAAGGAGAAAAACAAATGAACCTGCATGATGTATTGTCCTGCATAAGTGCCTGTGATGGCAGAGCTTTGGCCCGAGGCAAGTAACGCAATGGCATAAATAATCTTGCTTGATTTTCCCAATACATTCTGGTTATGCACAAAGTTTGTGTTAAAAAAAAAACTCTAAATATAAATCAAAATGTTAAGCAAATTAGTCATATCACAAAAACCAAATATTAAGGCTGAATTTATTTCGTTAGTTCGAATAACAACTCAAAGTTTTGTTATAATATTTTTTAATAATTTTGTTTGCTACAATATTTTTTTCTTTGAACTCACTTTTTCAATTCTGAGCCATAAAATTGTGGATATAGTACCTGTAGAAGAAAAGAGGCAGAGTTGAGAGTAAGATCGCTACATCTATCCGCATCATCACTGGAAAGGTTATTTGCGGAGCAAACGGTGCCTGATACGGAGATGACAGCCACATTGATCAAGAACGCCACAAACAATGCAAATCCACTCTCTATCAAGAAGAAACGACAAGCATCCTGCAAAATTAAAGTCGTATTTTTACCTTATATATCGTCTATTAATTGAAAAAACAAAAAACAAAAATGGAAATTCAAGTCGTCTAGTTTGTACCAAGCTACTTGTATGTTTCTTAGAATGTTTTTGAAGCGAAAAATTGCTTACATTAATGCCACGCACAGAGTTGGGTACTTTCCTAGAGAGCACAAGAGCCGAGTGCAGGAAAAGATTGTGCCTATGACATTTTAATAATTAAATTAACAAAAACCCCAAGTTAGTAACTTTAATTTTAGCATTTAAAAAAAGGAACTAAAAAGTTCAAGAGTAAAAAATGCTATAGCATGAGACTAAAAAAAGATGATGATATAATCGTACGGCATGATAAGAGCACCCAAAAGGGCGATGGCGTCGCCGGTGGCATCATGGCCGTTGAGCTTGGGAATAAACATGCCCTTGAGCACTCCTGACGCTGGAGGCTTGACATAACTCATTTCTCCGAAGAAACATGCTGCCATTATGAATACCAGCACTGATATTAGCAGTTCTAGCTTCCTAACCTGTTCATTCCCAACAAAATTATGATCATAGAAAATAAAATAAAAAATCAAAATCGTAAATTGTAATTGTTTGACATGAATTTTGATTTTGTCAAATGCTTTGGTCGTTAGCCAAAGGACTTTTATGAAGTATTCTCTCCAAAATTGCACCCTTTTTATTTTAACTCTTGAGCAGTAATTTTTGGAAAGATCGAAATTGGGATCAGTACTAGAGAAATGATAAACATGTATTTTGATTAGGACAGAATATCGAATTGCTTAGATGTGAAGTTAGTAAAAGTATTTGTCTGGGATATTTGATCAGCTTCAACGTGTTATGAGATTTTTGGATGATAAAAATAAATTAAAAAATTTGTTTTGATTTTTTTTTTATTGACCAATGAACAATGTACTAAGGCTCCCGTTCATTTTACCGATTCGCGTTTAAAATTTAAATTTTGTTACAGTAAAAAGCTCTCGAAATAGTCACATCTAACTTTTTTGTTACAGTAAAAAGTTCTCACATAAAGTCACATCTCAACTCGAATTAAAAATTTAAATTAGCGAACTAAACGAGCCCCTAAAACTGTTATGCATACAAACATATACTTGTGTGTCCACATGTGTATGCGTGTGTGTCTATACGTACATCTGGGTGTGTAGGCCTATATGTATGTGTGTGCGTTTATACGTATATTTGCGCACGTACCTATATGTATGGGAGCGTGTGCATACTTGTGATTAGTTTGATTTTTTTTTATTAAGGGAAGGTTGAATTTTTTTTTTCCTTATTAGGGGATGATTCTTTTTCTTTCAGATTAGTCAAGGTCACATAATACTGTGTATATTACTATATAGATATCTATGGCTTCCATATATGCCTGAATATTTACAAAGATAGAAAGAAATCCGAAAGCTAAATTAAAGAGACAAAAAGGACGCATTATAGATGAAAGCGTATCTGCCTAGTTTTTCTTGAATAGAAGGAAATTTAAAGTTGAAAGGGACCAAACTAGTAAGTATGGACACTGGAACAAGAATTCCGTTCATTTCACTGATTCAAGTTTAGAATTCGAGTTTTACTATAGTAAAAAGCTCTAAAAAATAGTCACATATGACTTTTTTATTACAGTAAAAAATTATCACATAAAGTCACATCTCAACTCAAATTAAATAACGATATAGATGACCGAAATCAAATGCCTAAAAAATATATCATAGAAGAATTACTTAAGAAAAATAATATTTGTTATCTAAACTTGGATTATCAAAAAGAAAAAAGAAAGCTATTGGAAATAAGTTAATACTAAAATTATGTTTAATCTGGAAAAAAAAACGTTCAATTACTTACCCCATATCTTTGCAGACCAAGAAGGAGAAGAGTGCTACAGCCGGTCAAGAGAACTCCAACCCAAACTGGGATGTTGAACAGTATATTCAGAGCAAAGGCTGTTCCAATCACTGCCAAAAAAAATAATGAAAAAGAAAAAAATATATTAAATTAGTGTTAACAAAATTATGTGTTTGTAATTTTCTCTGTGTTTTTCTTTAACTTTAGAGATGAAATACCTAATTCGCACAAAAACGACAAACGAAGAGTCCATAACTTAATAATTAATACATGAATGAAGAGATAGCTCTTTAGCCAAAATAATAATAATAAAAAAAGATAAATAAATTAGAAACTATGCCTTCAGGTATATCAGCGGCTATAACAGCAAGCTCAGCGAGCAACCATAGACAGTACTTGACCAACAATGGGTATTCAGCCTTGCATAACTCTGAAAGGTGTTTTCCTGAAATTAATCATGAAAATGGTTCATTATTACATGAAATAATTAAGATGATAATTAACAAAACAGTGGTTCTCAATTAACTATTTGAGAGGAGGAAAAACATTAAATCTAAACCTTTGTTCCAATAAATTACCTGTGGTCACCCCTAGATTTGCTGCAAGTGACTGGATTATGAGGGCAAATATCAACCCAATAAGGATAATCCACAGCAACTGAAAAATGACATATTTTCTCTATTAGTTCTGATTATAATATCTTTGTTAGATATATATACTACGAAGAACTTGATCAATTCGAATGCTTTGTTGATTAATCATTTCTTAATACCTCATATCCGTGGTTAGCTCCAGCTTGCAGATCAGTTTCCACTGTTGCATCAATGTCAGTTACCAAAAATAAGAATCTTGTCAACGAATTATAAGAAGACAAACATGAGAGAGAGAGAGAGAGAGAGAGGTGTGTACAGTTGCCAGGGTCAAGATATGCCAAAGAGACGAGGAACCCAGGGCCTACATAAGCCAGAAACTTTCTCCATCCAGGTTTCTGATCATCAACAAAAATCACCATAATTAGTCAGACTCAAATCTTTGTTATGAAATTGTGGCACCGTTTGTTTTGTTGTTGCGAATTATAATTTAAGTAGTGTTTTTTCTTATAAAATTTAAATATAATTTTTTCTGTTATAATTATTATTTTTTACATAAATTTACTTATTAAATTAAGTTTTCAACTCAAATGAGTAAAAAGAACCGAAAATTTTCAGAAGGACGTTAAGCAAGAACCAAAGCAATACTAATATATATATATATATATATATATTGGTAGACAATGATAAGATGAAAAGACATGAA